TGTCATAGTTACTCATTAAAAATGTCCTTCATGTGTAACTGATATCCGACATGTTTAAAAACCTATATATTATATGATATCATAGTTACTCATTAAAAATGCCATTCATGTGTAACTGATATCCGACATTTTTTTAGGTTTGTTAAAAGTCGATTCTCTGTTAAAAAGAAGCTCCTACGTCACTGGTAACAAAGCGTTTACAACATAATATGAAACATTAGTGAATATGAAAACAGTGTGTAAGTATGTGCCTCGTAATGATAGGATGATAATATAGGGGATTTCTTTTCAACCCAGCATTACTAGTAAATCACCTCAGAACCATCAGTCTTGCACTTTCTTTACCTTTGACAGTTTCATCTAGCATATTTTTAGCTTACCTATTATAAGGCAGCTATCGCTATGACTATGATGTTTTCAATTATTTTATCACAGTTTCTTCTTAAGCCATAATCGTTTATAGTGAAATTTCTGGACCCTTTCAGTAGCCACCCATAACACAGAAGTGATCGATGTTTTTATAATATTCTAGAGTTGATAATTCTAACAAAAACTGTTGCAGCATGAATTTGAATTATTCTTTCTAATCTAATTACACACACTGAGATAAAAAAGTGATGTTCCCTGCTACTTTTTTTTGTTATCTTCTCTTACCCCTGCCTAGTTTGGTCATTTTTTTATTCGATTGACTCTTTCGTTGTTTTTTTGATGGATCGTAATGCATACAAAGTATTTATTGGTATCGTTGTATGTAACAATCTTTATCAAAATATGTGTATGATCTCTTTAATCTATGTTTCAAAATCTACCTTAAACGTTCTATAGACTGATCATGACGTAATCTTACCGGTGTTCTTTCTTACTCAGGTAAGTGTTAGTTGGATTTTTGTAGGACTTTTAGGCCACCTATATGTTCGTATAATAAACAAATAAGGGCAAAACCATTAAAATTAGTTCAGTGATTTTCTTTATCCGAATCACAAGGGCGTCACCTGAAAAAAAATCCAAGGGGGAAGTAACTGAAAACGATAAACGACTTATTGTACAAGACAGGATCATTTCATATTTTATAGTTAATCCAATGCGTAATAAAATTAGATGTTATTGTTTCCAGCGCTCAGCTTTACAATAGGCTGTCTGTGTTATGTCCCCCACAGGGAATCGAGCCTTGAATTTTAGCGTTGTAAGCCTCTAAACTTCTTACTAAAAACAAACAAACCTCGAACTTCGTCCTATGACAAATACTTATTATAAATTTTGATTTTTCACACGTTTTTGTGTTAGGATTCTAGAGGGAGGAGGTCAAATTATCCCTATTGTCCCTTCCTTGCCTAAACACGTTCCTGAAAAATGTTTGTTTGTTGCTAAGCGCAAAGCTATACCATGGGCTACCTTTCGTATGTCCACAACAAGTATGGAAACCCGGTTTCTAGCGTGATAAGCAGACAGGCTTGTGTAACTTTTTTGTTTGTTTTTACTAACGAGCTTCTATATATTACTTTCCTTATAAGTGAAAAAAAAGGGCACAACTGATATCACACTAGCATTTATGCAGAGAGTTATTTTAAAGGTGCTTTTCTTGGGAAAGAAAATGTCATCTAGACCAATGGTTTCCAAACTGGAAACCACAGGAAAGTTTCAAGGGTCCGTAGCCAATACATACAATTATTTAACATACGAAACTTGCATGTGAAATGTATATTAAAAGGGATTGAAAGAATAAAATAAACAGTTCTTAAAACACCATTCTTTAAATTTATTGTTTGCAATGAAAGTAAGGTACTCATTATTTATAGAGTCATTAGGTGGGGGATCTCTGTCAGGATGCGCAATGTTATAGGGGGGGGGGAACTCGTGCTGAGAAATTTTGAGATGATCCCCTGACCTAGATAACAATCCAAAGAACAACTATTAAAAGTATACACTGGTAGTTCCAAACTATTATAGTTTTTTCCCCTTTAATTACAAGTTACAGCTTTTACAGTAAGGAAGAATATTTTTAAAACTAGGTACGTTGTTTCGATCACAGTGTTCTTGCTTATAATCAGTAAGCAAGTTCAAAACGAAACTATTCTAGGGTTTATTATTTTGTCAGGAAGATAGTGTTGTATTTACTGTTAATGGAAGCTGCCTTATAGGTCATCAACAGAACCTAAATAATATATTTGCAGCAGACGATAGTATATTCATTTCCGTTGATCTAATTAATCGTTGATTAAGTTGCAATAGTAAAATGATTAGTTTGTTTGTTTATAGCAGACTATAGTATATTCCTTTCCGTTAATCTAATTAATCATTGATTAAATCGCAATAGTAAAATGATTAGTTTGTTTTTTACAGCAGACGATAGTATATTCCTTTTCGTTAATCTAATTAATCGTTCATTAAATTGCAATAGTAAAATTATTAGTATGGTTGTTTACAGCAGACGATAGTATATTCCTTTCCGTTGATCTAATTAATCGTTGATTAAACTGCAATAGTAAAATGATTAGTTTGGTTGTTTACAGCAGACGATAGTATATTCCTTTCCGTTGATCTAATTAATCGTTGATTAAACTGCAATAGTAAAATGATTAGTTTGGTTGTTTACAGCAGACGATAGTATATTCCTTTTCGTTAATCTAATTAATCGTTGATTAAACTGCAATAGTAAAATGATTAGTTTGGTTGTTTTATGAAAGACGCGAAAGGCACGTGGCAACGAGATTCTAACTTACTCATTTAGTAATTACTTTTATATATGTTATATATTTCACGATTTTGAAAGAAAAGCCAGAATGGTAAGTTTGATTCTAAAACAGCTTATCCATAAAGTTACATTTGTAAGAAATATTATTACTATTCATTTCTAGTTGTTTTTTTTTATTATTTATTGAAGTTTTACATTTGTAAGAATGAGTTTTATTAATTTTATCTGATCGGTTGTTTTTGTTTCAAATTTTACATCTATAAGAAATATTTTTACTATTCGTTTCTAGTCCGTGTTGAATTAACGTTCCACGTCTGTAAGAATGATCGTCTGCTATTCATTGGTGATCAGGTGTTGTTAGACTAATTATATCATCCCATGTTTTTATCTCTTTCTTTAAATAATACCTTTGTATCAGGTATTAAAAAGTACCGACTGAGGCAGGTGATGTAATCTATAGACTAAATTTATTGCGATAAAAGACGTTTTCCTACACGTAACATAAAATAAAAGCATCAATTTGTTACCATAAGTGTTCCACGCTAAGTTTAATATTACTAATCATTTGATAAAAAAGCCAACATAATAAGAAAATAATAAACTTAACTTGAAATATACGTATTCTTACAGACGTTGGTTGTTTTGTTCATTTCTTTGAAACACAAAATATGCAAATTGTGTTTAATACTATCCTGATGGAAGAAGTCACCCCCAGCATCATCTTGGTATTTTACGCTTCTTAGAGTTTTTACCCAGAGTTACATAACTCTGAAAGTGTAATTTGTTTAAGCATAACGGCATTTGTAAAGCTTTTAATTTTATTTATACTTATAACTTTTCCTTGTGGATTTTATTTTTATTTGTTTTATGAAATGACACTTCCTTGTTGTGTGTGCTCTTACTGAAATAACAACTGATTTTTGACACGAACCTCAGGAAAAGTCTTGCTAGTTGTGAGAAAGCAAACTTTATCTTTGTGATATAATAATGTAAGGAAAACTTTTCAGTTTGACTCTGCATTGATATTCTTCAGCTCCATGAAGTCAACACATATATGGAATTTTTGGCCATTATCTTTCATAAAAAACAAAAACATAAGTTAACTTTATGGGTCACATAAACTAAACTTGTATGTTCTTGGCAAGGTAAAGGGAGGAAAAAGTAGTAGGTTTCTGGTGCCATAACCATAAACGGAAGCTATGCTGCCAGGGGGGGAAAAAAGCGGGAATCCGACTCATACAGTCTATTTTTGGTCTCATGATTCATGATGTGCGCATGTTAACTACGGTTTTTAGCGCGAAATTGATACTGTTTTCCATTTAAAACTTAGCTAGTGATACTTGCTGAAGTAAATTAAAATCCCCAAATATAGGCTGACGTTGATTCTTTTATTACACAAAACAATTTCGTTATTCTCAAGTTGCCTAATGCATATTATCTGAAAACGGTGTATTTCGTACGACAGCAAAATACAAAAACAAGCAAAAATCTAAGAACTCCAAAAAACACTAGCCATATCGTAAAGTTAACAAGAAACACATAAAAACAATTATAAGGCACGTGGTTAAGAGTATTTTGAGCAATATGACATTTTGTGTACGTTAAATATAAAAGTGGATTGTGACTAGTTGTCACGTAATCCACATTAGAAAAAAAGTATATATCAAAGTTTATCTAGCTTGCAATATCACATTAATAACGAATTTATAAAGTAGGCTATTTTTCAAGTAAGTAATCCCTATCACAGTTATTGTAGATTTTAATTTAATTGTACGTTATTTAAGTAACCACCTGTTTTAAGGCAAACAATGGTAGATCACTAAAACATCTGATACGAAAAAGGTTGTTCGCTTTGTTATGTTTTATATATAATCAAATAAAATCATTCATTTGCAGTAAACATTTGTAAGCATATAATTAATTGCATGTAAGCCTAAAAAATTCTAAAAGGGTACACAACAATAAATGAATCAAAATTTGAAGTAAACAATTAAATGTGCACGAGACAATTTATAAATAGCACGATCTAACTAAATCTAAAAACAGTAATTTATGTAAATCTCGGTCGACTTTCATTTTTAATGACATACTATAAGTTTCATTTACAATTTTTCTGTTGATATAAATATTCTTTCATATAAAAATAAGCGAGTAATCGTAACCCGAAGCATAAATTAGCGCAAGCCTAACTTTAATATCTCTCGAAATATCCAATTCGTGGCGTGACCAGCGGTCAAAGTTTGCTCACTGTTTTCTTTTGACGTTCAATTTAGCTGAACTTTCGACCTGTCCACTGGCGTTAGTGGCTCTACAGGTATACACCCCCTGGTCTTCCATATATGTCTGGCGGATAATCAAGGAACAGGATCCGGAGTCTTGAACCATCTGTTAAAAAAAATAATAGTAATTTCCTTCTATTTTAAAAAGTATAAAAATTAGAAAATATATTTTGTCAATTTTAAGATACGGAAATTACGTGTGAATAGGCAAAGGTAACCTTATGAATTTACACTTTCTTTTTGCTCACGCATGTCTGGAAATGAACGATCAAAATTAAAAGAACGATAAATAAAAGTCAATATTTTCTAAACGTAGCTGTAGATTAATTTATGTATGTATCGTTTGTTTTAACAAAGGAGAATAACAATAATATAACTGCACGAAATATTTAGAATAAACATTTTTTTTTTGTATTTCAAAATCCCATTTTTCTGTTTAATC